AACACATCTGAATTCAATGGCTGAATTACCTCCTCACTAAAAAGTCACGTTCTCCAGAGTCCTGCTGATGAACTCATTATTTGAAGACCCTCGTCGAGAGGAGGATGAGAGAAACCAGACCCAACAATACAGATGTGCTGAAGGCCAACATCTAATACTTCACTGGCCTGAATCTTTTGCTCATTAAAAAAAAAACATACAAGCAAATTCTCAAAGTAAACAAAAAATAAATAAATAAAGGTATGTACATCAGGACAATTGATAATGGAGGGATGGCATCAGAATTATGACTTGCAACAGTGGCTGTTTAGACCAAAATTACCAGTGAGTTTGTCATGGGGGCACAGGACAAAACCATGAAACAAAGCAAAAACAAATGTCCTTAACCTAAACATATGGCTTAAGCTTCTTTGTTTTAAACAATTTGGCAAAAAATTTTACAATGAGAGCAGAGGGTCACAGAAAGCATTTTAATGGTAACATCACCGACCGTGTGAGGCTGAGGGACATCAAACAGCCACCTTATGAGAAACCCTCCCATCATTGAAATGTAGCAAATGGGAAAATGAAAACATATTCTATTCCATTTTCTGTACACCCTTGTCCCTTACTGAGGTGGGGAGGTGCTGGTGCCGATCTCCAGCTAACGTTACGGGCGAGAGGCGGAGTCACCCTGGACAGGTTGCCAACACATAACATCATTTACAAGAAATATTTCAACATCGCAAAATCACTGAAAAAGTAAACCGACCATACACAATATGTTTTCCCTACAGTTAATTATTAATCCTGAAGCTTTATAAAAACAGTAAACAAGATTAAGTCATTCAGAATACCAGCGACAGCATTCGAGAACCAGGATGAATTTCACACTGTGGTTGTTACTGAGCTTCTGTGGTTTAACTTTGGGCCAGGAAGGTTTACCTGAAACAGAAGTCACTACTGAAACCGGGTCATGCTTTCCTGATATGTGTAAGTTCCTCAAAGAGTTTGGAGCCATGAAAGCTAAACTGGAAGCTGTGGAAACAAATCTGAAAGAGAAAAGTGAAGCCGTGGAAGCAAAGCTGAAAGAGACTGAAAGTCAGGTTCTGGTGCTTAAACAGAAAGGTAAAGTATTTTTTTTATACTGGCTGAGCAGTTTCACTGATGTTTATGAAACTGATCAAACCATTTTTCATTTATATTTTATCTAGAAGCATTGAAGGTGGTTTTCAGTGCCGGTATACTTGGGGATGCAGCCATTGGACCCTTCAACACACCAACAACCTTAATCTACACAAGAGTAATAACAAATTTGGGCAACGCCTACAACCAGAACACAGGTAAGTTGAGTTGTTCTTTTCAATAATAACTCAGCATGCCTAGGTGGGACCCATGTGGGGGAAAAGAGGGCTGATTTATGGACAAACCCCATATGGGTTTGTCCGCGGGTTCCACGATGACCCCACATGGGTTTGCCCATGTAGGGCCACAGCCCACATGGGCGCTACATGGGCCCTACATGGGTAAACCCATATGGGACCCACATGGTCTGTGCTCCTTTTCCCCACATGGGGCCCACCTAGGCATGCTGGCAGGGATTTAAGTTGCAATTTTTTCATACTCTAGTAGGACCGAAATATTGATTAAATAAAATTTACTTTACTTATGAGAAGATTTTGTTACCTGTCCAGGAGCAAAACAAATATTGTGAATTCCAATTTAAACACGATAAAATTTTTCTTCTTAGCTATGGGTGATATGACTATACATATTGTGAGGATGATAGAAAAGTGTGTATCCACCTACTTTTCTATAATTTCCAACATAATTTTATTACTTATTCAAAGGGCGTGAGCAGGGTTGTAAATGGGATTAAATGGTAGCATGACTAATTAGCAAAAATTAAGGCAATAAAAAAAGTTAAAAACCATTAAATGTTTTCTGACGAGGTATAAATTTTTTGAACAACTGCCTTGCTATGGTTTTTTTTCATTTTGTGTTAAATAAGGTCTATCTCCTAAAAATCCGGTGACTATATCTAATCTTATTTTATTTCCGAGTTAGAACCTGAGCTGTATCAGTGACATCCTGGTGTCAGTCAGTGTGCGGTCACGCCTCAGTCACCATGTGCTCCAGTGTGATGCTATCCTCTGGTGTGCAATACAGAACTTTTAAATTTTACCTTCCAGCATACCCAAACTTTCTTCCACTGTTTGTTGCGCACAAAGACAGTTTCTGGCACTATAACAGGTGTTACATCATTATGTTCCCTCTACTACAATGCCATATTTGGACAATTGTAGACAGAAAAAAAGAGAGAAGAAATTAACAAAACACTCAAAAAAAATGTTATCTCAAAACTTCTCCAGAAAAATTTACATTTCCGAGATTCAAAATTTTTGCAAGTTTTTCTTAGAAACTTTCAGAGATTAATCTGAAAAATGTAATCTCTGAAAACTTCATTATTCATTAAATAACTATTTCAGGGAATGAAAGCCAGTATGTAATATAAAGTTTTTTTGGAACATGCGTCAATAATAAGTCAGAGATTTTGACAAGGCAACAGCATTTATTTGACTCAATGTTTCCACAGGTATTTTTGTTGCACCTGTTAGAGGCATGTACTACTTGTCCTTCTTTTATCATGCTGGAGGAGAACACCCAGTGCATCTGTTGCTCATGAAGAACAATGAACGTATTCTGGACAGCTCTGATCACAAGACACTGAATGACGGTGCTGATAACGGAGGTAATGCTGCCTTCGTGGAGCTGCAGCAGGGAGACCAGGTCAACGTCCAGCTGCAGCCAAACACACATGTTTGGGGAAGCCTTTATTCAACTACTTTTAGTGGCTTTCTTCTGCATCAAGTCTGAAAAAATATTGATATGAGCATTTGAATGGCTTGAACCTACTGACCAGACAGTGTGCCAATGCCATGGTTAGTGTTCAAATTATAATTAAATTGAATTAAAATTATCTACCCAACAGAGCTTGCTTTCACATAATATGAATGCCACTCTAGACATAAAAAGGTTTGAATTTATGTAATTCTCTTTTTTTTTTCTGAATTAAATTGTATTTTTTTTATATAAATCTGAGGGGACATTATGGTTTGTATGGTGTTTTAATCTGTGTATAGATGGATTTAAGTCTGTTGATAAAGCTTGAATTGATCTAAACAGAAATTACAGTCAGTCAATAAATAAAAATATGCATTCCAGTGAGGTTCATTGTCAGATTAAAATGTAATGTGGTGTAATATTAAAATTTTAAATTTCATGTTTTCATTAAATGTAAGTGTAAAATCATAATTAAAAGAAATAAAGGCTTTCAAACATCCATCTGTGTGTAACTAGTCTAGTAATAAAGTTCCTGACTAAATGGACTTCTTAATAATATAATTTACTGACTGGGTCTGTAAATGAAAGGTAATCTAAGTAAATAAAAAATTTACTTCTCAGATTATTTTCATTATTTTTATTTTTATTTTTTTTTACCAAATCAACTAAAATATTACTAAGTGAACCTTAAACCAAGACCAGGTTGAACCAACTTTGGCCACATTAGTTGCCAAAAAATGCTGCCTTTAACTGGCAATGACGCTTACCTCACTGTTGATAATTAAGCACTGTTGTTCCTCCATACAAATATCACCATGCCAGTGTGGGTTTATATTTGAGTGTGTGGATTCTACAAAGACAAACAAACAAATGCAAAATTATAACTACTAATCTATAAATACTCTTTTCACAAAGGCAACCAAAGTATCCAATAAACATGATCAAAGTCTACCACAATGCTATGAAGTTGGTTACTTGCGATTCACTGACTTTAGCTATAAAATGTATATCATTACCAAACATAAATAGTAATCAAACCTGCTGATAACAGTCTCACGACAACGCATACATCACAAATGATGCAGGTCAAAAGAAAAATGAGAACCTCAAACAACCACGTTGAATCAAGCTTAGTCATAAGAGGCTAGCAGCTCCCCAAAACATAACTAGCACAAACGACCATAGTATTTGTATTTTGTGTAAATACACTCTTAGGCATAAAAAACAAAACAAAGGTCAAGCACAGACAGTATTACCCACTTCCAATGAACGCACACAACTGAGTAGCTCTAGTAAACGATGTCCATGTCTCAGTGATTCTTGAGAATAGGGACAAAACAGGTCCTATGGATAAAGCACAAAATTTGAATTAAATATACGCAAAATATAATTTTTTTCAAATATCTGACTAAACTAAACTGGGCCATGTGTGGACAACAATGTATATTTTCCTGGTGTTTGCTGAATATTTTTTTTTATTTTAAAGGCTGGTGTCTTTAAAATCCCTTGTCCTGGAGCAGAACTTAATACAATAGTTTAAAACAATTAAAGTAATACTAAGATAGTATATTATGAGAATTAAGTATAAGTAGTCATATAAATAATCATAAAAGTATCAATAAATTGAATTAAAAATCATTT